CTGCTATAACAATTCCATAAACCAAACCTTCACTCAACTCCGCACATAAACACACAAACACAAAACACACATTCATCATTCATACATACAGCTATTATTTACCCACACATACACTTTACCTCTACACAAGCTTACAAAACAATAAACATACAAACTCCAAAAAAAAGAAACAAACCAACAACATAGAATCAATAACTACACAAACCCACACACATCAAACATTAAACAGTGAACACCCCGTACAACCCTTAAGAGTCGCATTAAAAATCACAAGGACAGGGGGAGATTGGTTTTCTGTGGTTTCCCAACCTCATTGCACAACGATACTTGATCCTAGATGAGGACACAGCCACAGTTATACTGAGATGCCTGTGAGAACAAACCAAAAAAGGCCAACAATCTAAAAAGGACCGTTTTCCAATGGAACTTATACTTAGTAGCGGGCTTGGTCTAACCGGCACCCAAAGGTAGAAAATCCTTCTGACAATACTGCTTGTAGCCACTACGTAGCCTCGGGAAAGTAGCAATATACACAAACTGACGTTTCCCAAACACAAAAATCACTCTTGAAGAGGCGCCAAAGCCTCAACAATGACTAAAACTGACTTAAACTGAAACAACATGTTTTGAGACACTTGCTTTTATACAAATAAATAAATAATTTAATTTCATTAAAAGTCAATATTTGCCAGAGCGTCGATAATAAATTTTGATTTTAAATAGTCAATTTTAATTTTATTAAAAAAATTCAGCTCAACATTCATCAAAAATCTGTTTGATTATTTATTTCGTGTGTGATGACGTATACGTGAAAAAATATTAACGATCAGACTTCCAAGTATAATCAGTAAGAGTATTATGAATCTTGAGGGGCCTGAATTTTGGTATGCATAGCAAATAAATTGTAAACTCTATTAATACTTCGCCGCCTTTTCAAATCAGCAGCTTTCAAACGCTAAACAGCTTTCAAACACTACGCAAAGGCATGCTCTTGAGATCTTGAAATATAGGAAATATTTCTAAGTAAATATGGGAATTTAGGGGCTAAATTACCTTTTTATCTGGAATGTTCCACAACCTCAACTTCCCATCCAACGATCCGCTGAGGAAATATCTATCGTCTCTGGGATGAAACACTATCGCAGTCACAAAATCGATATGCTGAAAACAACATAAGCATTCTTTCCTAGAAATGTGCCAAAGTCGTACAGTCTTATCCATGGAAGAAGAGAGTATGAAGTAATTTTTAGACCAAGAGACGTCCAAAAGATCGGAAGTGTGGCCGGTATAGGTGCAGAACGGTTTTGGCATGAATGTCAATTTTGCGGCTTCTTCCGGTGTCATTCCTTCGTAAGCTGCATAATTGGATATTTCGGCAGAGTGATGAGATACTAGAGACTCTTGTGATGGTGTTGGAGAAACTTTTTCAGCATTATACTTCGTCCTCATGTCCTACAAAAACATTTATACTCAGAAAAGAAATACGAGTATATTCAGGGATTGGTATTGTTTACCTGGAAGAACGGATAGGCATCCCGAACTACCCATATCCTAAGGATCTTGTCTTGTCCAGCGGTCGCCAGCAACCTTCCGCAACAAGAAAATTTCATGCACCAAATAGGCCCCTCGTGCTGATCGTCGTTTAATTCTTGAACGTGTTCAACTTTTTCAAACTCATACGGACCTTTGTGTGAATTGGCAGCCTGGAAACAAAGAAATTTGTGAGTTAAATGGAATGAAAATTGTATGTCGGCTTATTAATCAATTTTTAAACTTTTTTTTAAACACCATACATTTAAGTACATTAAAACTTAAAAAAATCTTTATTTTTTTAAAACTTGTTTATTGAGTTCAGTAATTTTCAAAATTGTTTAAATATAATATAGAATTTTATTCATCATTTACATTTTCATTATTATCTTGTATTTACGTTTAATTGCTTCATTTTGATTATCATTATGTTTCATTATAATGGATTTAAAAAATACAAAAGAAAAACGGGATGTGGCACTTCGGGAGTGATCAAGGAAAGGAAGCATAGCTTTCTTATCGTCTATGCACGAAGCAATGGTTTTTAATTTAACAGGTTCATTGCATGAGGCGAGAATTCGCGTCCAGGCCGTTCATTCCTCGGTGCTAACGGCGCGGATCGGAGCTTTAAACATGACTTCTATTTATAGTATGATATTTTATTAGCACGAGAGTTTATTTGCTACATCAGCATCTAACAGAAGCATCATGTAACGGAAGTTACGTCACAGTTGTCACTTTTGTTGTTTCCTTTTATTCCTACACGTGTTTAACTATTAAAACGTAAAAAAATATCCGTAAAAAACCCTAAAAAGTTAACAGAAGTAGAACTTTTTGACACAATCAGATAGTGAAGATGAATATATTTCATCGGAAGACGAATATATTCCATCTATAGACGATGAGGATGGGGAAGAGTTGGATAAGTTGGAAACAAGTGAGTTTAAAAAAGTGTTAAATTTGTATTTTTGTAGGTGACGACGATATTTCGAGTATTGTACAAGCCATGCAAAACGAGGTGGAATCGAATGAAAATGTAAATCCAAATGCAGGTTATGGGGAAGAACCAAATGAAAATTTAAATCCAAATGCAGGAAATCCAAATACACATGAATGGCAAAATGATCATGATGAAATGAAACAATTTGAGTTTGTTAGATGTTGCAACTTGTTGTTTCTATCGGGTGTTACAGAAAGACCTATAGTAAAATTGGAAACCACTCATTACCGAAGAATTACATAAATCTTTTGGGGTACTCTTACACATGGGGACACGGAAAACCAACAGAACGCAAGATTATTGGAAAACTGATAGTCTTTTTAATGTAAAGTGTTTCTCAGAAAATATAGAGAGAGGTTGAGACCGTTTTTTGTTAATTCTTCTGTGTCTGCACTTTGGCCAAAAATCCAAAGGTAGGAGAAGTTATAGAAGACAAGCTATACACAATCCGTCCATTATTAAATTATTTTAATCAAAAAATGAATGACAAATATCAGCCTGACAAAAATCTCTCCCTGATGAATCCTTGAATGAAACCTTGATGAATCAGTAGTTTTATGGCGTGGTCGTCTCTGTTTTAGAATGTATTGTTACGATAATAAATATTATGGCGTATAAAACTGTAAATATATTATGACTAATTCTTTTCTATTTCTAGTAATTTCGGCTCTCATACCTATTTACCTGCCAGCAGAAATTACTAGACCCTTCTTCGAGACCAGTCCATGACTCACCTAATGGATGGAAGATCATCGATTCTTCGCCAGACCCTTCTAGATAACGGTATTTGGATATAAATAACAGGATTTTATTGTGAACGGGCAGTCAAAAAGAATTCCGGGCTCGCGTTAAAATTGTATCGCACGTAGATAAATTATTTGTAAAATAAATTAGTAGTAATAAAGACTTTGATAAATTTGTGAGTGTTATAAGTATAGAACCTTTAATAAATTAGAACAATAAATTATAAAATATAAAAACATTATAGTATATTAAAAATAAGCGCCATAAATTTGGTATAAAAATATATGTACTTACTGAACCTAACGGATTAGTTCAAAATATGAAAGTTAATGCTGGTAAATTTGATACTACCGCCGCAGCAGACCATTCAAAAAAAGTTGTCATGGAATTGATGCACAATTGGACAATTTTTACACGAGTATGAACCTTGCCGAAACACTTATGAAGAACAAAACATTTTGTACAGGAACTCTTCTGGGAAGAAGACAAGGAAATCCAGTAGAAGTGATTAAAGTCAAGTTAAAAAAGGCGAGTTAGTAGCAAAATATAAAAACGGTGTTGTTGTTGGCAAATGGTTCGATCAACGGAAAGCAATGTATATATCCACTGAGTTGAGCAATTTATGGTAGAATGTGAGAACAACCAAAAACAAAAATAAACTAAAACCTCTTCCAATCACCGAATATAATAAAAATATGAGTGGTGTTGATAGCAAAGATCAAATGTTATCATACTATCCTTGCAAAAGAAAAACCCTTCGCTGGAACAAAAAATTAGGTATACATATACTACAAATGATTTTAGTAAACTTTTATTTTTTATTTAATAAATATTCTGGAACAAAACCGATCTCTTTATGACTTTCGACTAGAAATTATAAGAAATTTACTACGCCCTCCTCAGAAAGATGTTCCTAAAACATTGAATAACTAGTCTGAACGGCATATTTTGACCAAAATAGCTGAGACAAATACAAAAGAAGAAACGAAACGTAAAAAGTGCAGGGTGTGTACAGTAAGTAAAAAAAGAAAAGGTACAATTTATGAATGCCTTATTTGTACTGACAAACCTGATCTTTGCCTAGGCGCATGCTTCGTAACATACTATGTATTTGTTACCTATAACGTTCAAGTTGCTCTTATTATATTATTTTTATTGTATCTTTTGTTACTTTTCAAATAAAACATATTTTTTTAATGAACGGGGATCCGCATCCGTCCGTTATAAAAAAATAAAATGATGTTTGTTGGGTATAATGATGAGTTAAGTATATTACGCCTTCGAAGGCGATAGATAAAATTGGATATACAAGGCAACAACAATCAGTGCTTTTAACTTGAAGAAACAAACTTAAATCTAAACAGAATGTTAAACCAAAGTTTAGGATATTTTAAGGCAATATCAAGATAATAATAATGACGTCTATTTATATAGAAAACAAATATGAGCTTTCGAAGTGACGCTTACCTTTAATTTACATGTTTGTTCTCCGGGATGAACATTATCAACTATATCGATAGCGTCCTCTTTATGACGAGCATGTGACACTTCCTGGGCAATTGATTTCGCCTTGTGCATAGTTTTTTTCACCGTAGACCCTAGGAAGCGTTTTAATTTGGCCGTCTTTTGCCTTATTCCTCCAACTTCCACATCGTTTTCTCCTACCACAGGTATTTCAGACTTCTTACCCACACTTTCTTCGTCAGACTCTTTTTCTTTCTCCATGCTGGAACTGCTCACGTACTCTGATGTTATGCGCATTATATGCAAAGATAAAGGGTTGATGCATTGTGGCAGTTTGTCTTCGGCAACGCTTAGCGGAACTCTCTCTCCGGTGTCTAGATTTAGTACTGTCACTTGTTCTAAGATTTCTAAATCCGACAGTTGTTTGCCGGAGTCTGTGTGTGTGCGGACGTGTGTGGTTAGGTTTTTAAGGAAGTTTTCGTCACCGGCGGACTTTCTGCGTTCTTTGGACGAATGTTTACTATCGTTTTGATGTGTTCCCCTAAAAATAAATAGATATATATATGCATAAAATACATCAATTGAAATGTGAGCTAAAAGCAGAAACACGTATATTCACAAGGAACTATCTTCCACTGCTATGTTTAAATTATTGGCTAAAATTGATTGATCCCTGGTTAATAATGGTGGTAAATAATTAATTGATCGATAGGGTGAAGAAATAACTTGTTAGACGAAATCTCTTCACACGTTCTTTATTATACTCTTATGGCAACATATGAAAACATACTGCATGTATAAAATTAAACTCGGCTTTACCCTGAGCTTACAGGGTTGCCGTCTGGGTAAATTAAAACTTATGGCTAAGAATTTAATATTTGTCAACTAAACTAAATAAAATATTTGTAAACATTCACATGGAACATCATGAATCTACAGGAAATTTACCAAAAGATTGGTACAAGTCCATATTTATACCACTGCCAAAAAAGCAAATAGTAAGACATGTGAAGAACACCGAATCATTAGCCTCATGAACCACTCACTCAAAGTATTCTTAAACATCATCCATGCTCGCATATGTAAGAAATTTGAGGAGGGTATTGCTGATGTACAATTTGGATTTTGCAGTGGTCTTGGCATAAGAGATGCACTTTTTAGCATACAAGTAATGATACAACGTGCAAGAGATGTTAATACAGATGTCTTTGCCTGTTTCATTGACTTCGAAAAGGCATTTGACAAATTACAGCATGAGAGGCTTATTGAAACTTTGCGAATCGCAAACATAGATGACAAGGATATAAGAATAATAGCCAATCTCTATAGAAAACAAGTAGCCAAGATTCGAGGAGACAATCAATTATCCGATGAAGTCCCAATACAAAGAGGAGTACGACAAGGTTGCATACTCTCGCCTTTGCTGTTTAATGCGTAATCTGAACATCTATTTCGAGAAGCTTTAGGAGGAAGTACTGATGGCGTGGTTGTTAACGGTGAAGTAATAAATAATCTAAGATATTCAGACGACACTGTCCTTGTTGCGGATAATGCTGAAGGATTACAAAGACTGATACATCAAGGAGTTAACATCGGTAGAAAATATGGAATGAAACTATGGAATGAAAATATGGAATGAATAATAATAAGAAGACGAAAATTATGATCATAAGCATAAACCAAGATACAGATGCAAAGTTTATAGCAGACAATGAGGTATTGGATAGAACAGAAAAAATAACATGCCTAGGATGCAACATCACATACAGCTGGGATCACTCATACGAGATTAAATGTAGGATCGAAAAAGCAAGGAGTGCCTTCCAATACATGAAGAAAGTATTCTGCAATTTAACAGGTTGGATGCCGCTATTTTGTAACTTACTTTTACGTGGTCCCGACTAAGAAATGTAAATAAATATATAAATACGTACCGAACGCTTATAAGCTACGGAGGTACCCGAGCAAAGTACACAGTGACGCTTATCTGGAGTTAAAAAATGGCGCTCAGGAACCTAAAGGAGCACAATGCTGACACTATCAAAGTCATCATACCACGGAACCTGCACCTACCCCTCTAGGGAAAACTAATGTGATACATACAGTGGATTGCGTCTACCAGATCGAAGGTTGACATCTGAAGGTGACACAAAATAAAGATCTCCGAATGGAGCGCTGGCAATCCTGGACTTCAAGCTTGCAGTCAACGGAAGACAACATGCGAAAGACTACATGTCTGTAAGTCCGAAATACAGTTGAACAGGGTACATTAAAAGCTCTATTACTAGCTCCATCTTGCTAGGTTTACGCAGTTGGATGAAAATAAATCATTCAGGCCCGGGACACTAATAAAACAAAGCCGCCAAAATCACTTCCAAGCAGAAATCTAAAGTGGAATGCTTAAAGGAGGAAGAAACGTTAAAAGGGCGGTAAGTTAAACATCCAAAAGATGCGTTTACAAAATTTTGGGCGATGAAAACTAAGTATACTTAAAAAATCCTTTATAAAAGGTATTTAATTAAAAATATCCTTTCAACCTACATCACAGAACGTTTTAGGACTAAAAAGTCCATCATCAGTGTAATATTATCAGGTATACATGAGTCATGCCATTAAATATCGGGGTAAAAACCCTTAGAAAGTTACAAAACTTGTAGAGTGTTACATTATTGTTAAAAATAACTTATTTAAATACGTTAACATCACAAAACACATTTAGCAATAATGTAAAACACAACAAATTTTGTAACTTTATAAGGGTTTTTACCCAGATATTTCGTCTTTACTCATGTATACCTGGTAATGTTACACTGATAATGGATTTTTTAGTCTGTAAACGTTCTGTGATGTAGGCCGAAAGGGATTTTCAATTATATATTTTATATAGGATTTTTTAATAAAACTTTTGTGATTCATGGTATACAGCCAACTACAGGAATTTCATTTGCCTTGTGGATTTTAAATATAGGTATCAAGGAGACTAAAATTAGAACCTGTATCTTCTGTAGATCTGTAATCAAAGGTATCAAAATTACCGGAATTGTAACCGATAACTTAAGATGCGCAGATGAATTGGAAGAATATCTACAGACACGAATGAATATCCTGAATAATAAATGCAGCCATGATGGTCGCCAACCTCAACAGATATGCCACATAATGGAGATTTAATAATAATATGTAACGTTATAAACGTCACATGTCCATTAATTTATATTTAAATAATTATTTCATTTTAATTTCTTTATTAATTTATTAATTTCTTTATCTTCAGTTTAATTTTTACTATTTTTTATTTAAAAAGTAGTTAGCGCCCTCTGTTTAAGACACGACGAACTCACCCTTAAGATACTGAGCTAGGCAAGGTATAGACGATAAGCTCCCATGGTGGATTGAGGTATTATTTTTACAATGGTACTTCAATTCTCTTTGGTAGTCTTATCGTTACAAATAGTAAAAAAACAAAACTGGCTTCTAAGATTAATTCAGAAAAAACTTACCTATGAGGTCCTAAGCTGTAATGTCCAACACTACTACGATTTCCAGACCCCCTCGGACTGCTATTAACGTTCGTCTTTTCCGTGGAAACGGTCAACTTATCCTGACTGTCAGTATCTACATCTTCCTTGGAACTCTGTCGAGCCCTTAGACTCTCATTATCCTGTGGCTTCACAACAAACTGCCCTTTCAAAGCTTGTTTGATGTCTAAAGAATGGCCGGACCGTAAGGTGGAGCTCTGCGACTCGCTTCCCAAAATCCTATCAGATTTGGTTGACTTTATCGAAGGCAATCTGTCTAAAGAATGTTCAAACTCTCTAGTTAGTGATTCTATAGTGGTAGCGGGACTAGCAAGTTCAGAGGACTCGAAATTAGTGCTAGAAGTGGATTTCTAAAATAAAAATCACCCGTGAGTAGAATCGAGTGGTGAACCGTTGTGTATAAGAAGCATAAAATAAAAAACTAACACACAAAACATCGATCGTGTAAAAACTAAGCTTAATTAAAAATAAAAGAAGCTATTAACTACAAACAAAACAATAAATATTGAACTACTCTTTCCGGATTAATTAGATTTAATTATCTAGTCTATTCCAGTGAGTGGAACAGCCTCACACTGGTAAATATATAAATATCTAATATATTTTAAGAGTTTGTAAACTAATCTTCAAAAACTACAGTTCCCGTAATGTTCTTGTTTTGGTCATTGTTACATATGGTATAGTATATTTAAACTGGTACATTGTAATCAAAGTAAACGCTTCTGGTAGTAACTGGGTGGATTGAGTAACTCAGTAACTACCAGTGCCAGTTCCAAGCCCGGATAAAGGAGGAATGTTTGCACCAGAAAGGGCATCCGGCAGTAAAACAATCTTCTTCTTCGCGTGCCATATCAGATTTATCCGACGTTGGCGATCACCATTGCGAAGGCTTCTCTGATCTTCTGCAATATGGAATAATTGTCCTGCATTTGGTAGCTGAGTCCATTCACGAATGTTTTTTAACCAAGAAACTTGTTTTCTTCCTACACCTCTACGGCCCTCTATGTTGCCTTTAAGGATCAGTTATAACATTTTATATCGACTTCCCCTTACTATATGTCCCAGATAAGATATTTTTCGATGTTAACAGTCTTTAGCAGTTCTCTGTCATTGTTGACGCTCCTTAGTATTCTTCATTCATTAGTTTTTCTTTTTAGCTATCCAAGTTATTTTCAGCATTCGTCTATGAACCCACATTTCCAATGCTTCAATTTTGTTCATGATCGATACTTTTAGCGTCCACACTTCTGCACTATACAAAAGTACAGACCAAACACAGCACTTAACCATTCTTTGCCTTAGTCATATGAGATGGTTATTGCAAAGAAATGACGTCATTTTCATAAAAGTAGTTTTAGTCATTGCTATTCTACGTTTTATTTCTATGTCTGGATCTAGTTGGTCCGTTATCACAGTTCCCAAATATGTCATTTTGTGAACTTTCTCAACTTGAACTCCGTTCAATTGAAGCTTTGCATCGGGATGTGGGTCACGACTAAACACTAAAAATTTGGTTTTGTTTGAGTTTATTTTAATGCCCATTTCCTCTCCTACCTCGTGAATACGATCAAGCAGAATTTGAAGACCTTCAATATTATCTGATAGAATCACTATATCGTCTGCATATCTAATCTAATTAAGTAGTTCCCGTTGATTTTTATTCCATATGGTTGTCTCTCAAGTGCCTTTTTAAATAACTGGTCCGAGTAAACATTGAACTATGTTGGCGACAAAATGCAACCTTGTCTGACTCCTCGTTGTATGGGGATGTCATCGGTGTAGTTATCTCCAATTTTTACGATAGCAGTTTGATTCCAATACAAATTTTTAATGACACGAATATCCTTGTCATCTATTCCGATATTTTTCAGTATAGTAAAACCATATAAATATGGAATACAGAAAACATTTTAGGGGCTAGGTTGTTCCCCATAATTGCACCCTTCTTAAGAAGGAGGGACAAAGACTCTTAACATTGGAAGTATGATAGATGAAAAAAGAGTTGTAAAGGTAATCGAGAGATCTTGAACAAGGATGCAAGTTAATATACAGTAGGCCGAACAGTCATGGCACAAATGGAGAGGGTATTATTTTGAACAATAAGTGGAAGGAAAATCCAGTTTATATAAAAGTAGAAATAGTAATACAATGAAATTATTTTTGATTTTGTCATATATAATATTAATATTTAGATGAAATTGTATTTAAATGTAATAATAATTAATTATGATTTTGTAGTATAGTTAGGGTGTGAAGAACAGAAAGGAGAATAATTTTTGAATACACTTGATTGCGAGATTTCTATTGCCGAAAGTGTTTTATTAGAGGTGATTTAAATGGACATATTGGTAGAGAAACAGCGTAAATAGAAAGAGTTCATAGAGGTTGGAGGATGCGAATAAAAAATGATGAAGAAAATAGTGCAATTGACGTTGCAGTGGCATGGGATTTAATTGTGATTAATACCGTCTTTATGAAGTAGCTATGTTACCTACAGTAGCTGGGGAAGGGAAAGTCAGATATATTTTGTGCTGTGTAGAAACCATCTAAACATCAGAGAATAAAGTAGTGAAAGTTAAAGGATACGGATTTGGTAGAAGTAGAGTCCTGGAAGAGTTTGGGAAAAAAGATAGGGCGAATGACTGGTGAGAAGTCAACATTAAAGTTGTTGTACGAGTGTGTGTAGAAGTTCTAGGAAAAACATCTGGTAAAGGTCCTCTTAGAAATAAAGAAACTTGGTAGGATGCAGTGCAACCAGAAGATTAAAGAAACTAGAAAGAGGTATGAGAGGTGTAAAAGAATGGAAGATAAGGATACATAAAAGGTAGTAAAGAGGAAAGCAAAGCGCGCTTTAGCTACCGCTAAGGAAAGATCGTCTACAAAGCTGTATCAAGAGTTGGAAACACCAGGGGAGATGAAAAGGTTATACATTATTCCTAAAGCAGAAAGTTGACAGAGCAATACGGCGAGAAAAAAGAGAGCTTCTTCTTCTTCAAATGTGCTGTCCGTTGCGAACGTTGGCTATTAACATGGCAATTCTGATCTTGTTTGCGACGCTTTTGACTAGTTCTACCGATGTGAGCTCGAACCACTTCCGCAGATTTTGGAACGAGTGTCTTCTTCCGTCCTATCCCTCGCTTACTATCTATTTTCCCCTGTACAATCAATTGCAGTAGACGGTACATATCGTGTCTCAATATATTATGTCCTAGGTATTCAAGCTTTCTTTGTTTAATTGTGCTAAAAGAGAGCTACACTCAATATTTATAGATCTTGGAAAGGCGTACAACACAGTTCCTAGACAAGAGCTACGTATATAGATATATTATTACAGTTTAAAGTAACCAACAAAGAAACATATTTTCTTACACGCCGCTAGTGATCGAAATCGCTATATCCGAGAATCCATGATCGACACGTGATTCCGGCTACTTTTGACCAGTTAGGATGCGTGACTTTGAATGGCTAATTTCATTACTTGTTTGTTAGACTAAGTTGCTTTTCTGCGGTGTACTAAAGCAAAAACCTTGACTATGCCTCGGGCATTGATGGAAGGGGATTTTTAAGTGGTTCCTGTTCATTGAGTTCATCGTATGTTTTGAGATAGTGTTTTATTATGAGTTAAGTTCGTTACATGAGTACACCATATTGAAGATCCATTAATTGCTGCAAAAGCAAAACAGTTATTTGATGCATTAAGCTTAGAAGGACATTTTGAGGTATCATCTGGGTGATTTAGTCACTTTAAGCAACGCCATGGGACGAACGAGATAGAATGTCATGGGGGAAGCTCAGCAGTGCCCCACAGGGAGGTGAGGAATTTAAAAGTGTGTTAGAAGAGATATTTTGGAATGGGAAGAAGTTTGCCAAACACGACTGTGTTAGTTCAGCCTATGGACCAAGACGTCATTGCGTCCATGAAGAGAAACTATAGAACAAAGTTACTTCACTCAAAAATTGAAGAAGGATATGACTTACAAGAGTTTTGGATTTCATTCACTATTCTGGACTGTTTTAATAAAATGTCTTCAACAATTGAAAGGTCAATGAGAAAACATCGTAAATTATGAAGAACTAGCAGTTGGAGAAAATGAAATTGAATTGTCTGACCTTAAAGTTTAGTGAACTCAGTTCCTGGGGGAGAGAATATGGACGCAAGAAACTTGCAAGAATAGTTAGAAGACATCCTAAGAAAATGCCGAGGACGAAACGAGGAGGAATGAAGAAGAAGAGTTTGCACCTGAGAAATAAGTCACTCATAAAGTAGTCACGTAAATAAACTTCTAGAATACTTAGAGGATAAGGACGACGTACTACTCGCAGAAAAACGAATGCTCCGTAAATTGCAATGTAGAGGTTAGAAACAAGTTTTAAAATCAAAGAAGCAAAACCAAATGTCAGACTAGTTTCGAAAAGTATAAAAAAGGTAAGTATAAATATGAAAAAGCTTTAGGTGAAACTAAATTTGTGATTTTCTTTTTACTTGCTTTAACCAGTTAGCAGCTTATCTGCGATTTTCGTTATCCGTAGCAACCGTACCAATCAACCCGATGTTTTGACTCTGGAATCACGAGCCCCTTCCCATATCAGTTGACCCACCTATGAAATTTGCAGTTTAAGTCGATTATCATAAACAAATTATACTCTACATAACATCCAAACAATAATATTGTCAGTTAATGTCAAATTTATTTTGTAATATTGCAAAGCTTTTTGCCGTTTGTGGATTGTACAATGGGTCGAGGTAAAGTTATCGATGAGAAAATTTGTTCAATCATTATTAGATTTTTTAATTCTGGAAAATTCAATTCGTAAATCGCGAATATGTTGCAACTGTCACGCTATAGTAAAGGAAATATAGTCAGAAAATACAAAACTAAGGTTCGGTCGTCACAAAACCTAAAATGTATGAAAAAGTAAAATAACCGAAGCAGATCGAAGGGCATTAAGACGCATTATAGTGTAAAATCGAGGAGCAAATTATATGGAGTTAATCGTTTCATGGAGTGGCGTCATTGTAAGGCACGTTTCTAGATCAACAAGTCACCGAGAGGCCCACAAATTAGGTGTTAGTACTTACTTACAAAGTAAGTTTTATAGTTGAAAACATTAGTGTGAATTGTTTTTAATAAATTTAATTTTATTTTAGGCTAAGGAAAAGCCACCTTTAATCCTTTGTTTCCTGAAAACTTTTACAATCAAAAATTGAGGTAATAATTAAATAATCTTACTCTATTGGGTTCCTAAAAGACAAAAAAGTGAAAAATATATATTTTTTTTTAATAGGCTTGGTTTAGCTTAATTGGTTTCGACATGATACCACTAGAAAACTAGAGATTTTTCTCAAATAAAAAAACCGATAACTAAATGATAATAATATGAAAGATAGGTTAATAAAATAATAACTAAATAATAATATCAAACGTAGATTACTTTTTATGATACAATGAAAAACAGTCCTTTTTTTTTCGGAAAGGCACCATCAACCTTAGATGTCGCACACTCCCACCTGGTTCTGTGAGGATCCTTACTAGTGCTACAAAAAGCACATCGTCTAGATGTACCCTGTTGTGGCATATGCAAACATTGGTCAAAGCGTTTCTCATAAAGCACAATTTTTTTTGAAATGTTTCGCTGCGACTGTAGGAGAAGCAACCCTACTTCTTGACGGATTACTACCACTGGCGCCGATTAACCCTGAAGCTACAGATAACTTAAAAAATTTCAGGTTTGGAACCGTGCATTTCGTTTTTTGTTTGAAGAGAATAAAAGAATTCACGACACATATATCCACGAAATGCCACAAAATCCGGTGCCGCCATTTTTTGATTTGCAGTCAATCTCATACACAGATTTCAGCAGATCTGTTTTGTCAACATTGCCCATATGCTGGTTATATTCTTTTACCATCTTTAAACAGGCCACGACTTGTGAATTTCCATCTTTTTGTTGGGACTACTTGTGGTCTATTTGGATGGACTATTTCTCGGTCCCTCCACTTTACAAACACCAGTCCGTCGTTGCTGACTCTCCAGTCTGATTGTCCCCGGATTTGTAGTTCTTTGTCAGATGCTAAGTCTTTTGGAATATCTTTTCGGTTAGTCCTGACAGTACCGCACGCATAAATACATTCTGCTTGAAGTTTTTTTTGTAAGGACACAGAGTTGAAAAAGTTATCAAAGAAAACGTGATACCCTTTTGCCACCAAATCTCGAGTCAAGTCTAATATAACTCTTTGGCCCAAATCTTTTTCAGGTTGATCATTAGTTTTTCCAACATATATCTGAAATTGGCAAACGTATCCATTCTCGTCAGATCGAACCCAAACTTTATAACCCCTCTTGATGGGTTTTAGAGGCATAAATTGCTTTAGACAACTGCGACCCTTGAAACGAATCATAGATTCATCTATCGATTGATGTTTTGAAGGGCCATATGAAGAACGAAACGTTTCAGATAAAGTATTCAATAAAGGACGAATTTTATACAACTTGTCATAATTTGGCGAGTTGCGACCAGGCATCACCGAATTATCTGCTAAATGCACGTTTCCTAGATGCCAAGCAAACCGATCTCTAGACATAGCTGAGCTAATGTAGTGATCTCGTAGTTCCTCTCTAGATGACCAGTAATCGACATAACTGGGCAACCTTTTGATTCCCATCAACATATTGATTGCAATGAAAATTTTAATTTCTTTGGCAGAAGTTGGTGTGAATGAAGAGTCTCCACCACGTTTCTGAAGAGCGTAGAGGTTTGTTTCGAATACAATTTTGTCAATTAGATTTCCGAGAAATAAGTGTAAAAAAAATCTACTGGCCTCTCCATATCATCTGGAATTTTAGGACCGGTTTCTTCAGTAAACTGCTTCATGTTAGTAACGCAAGATGCCGCTGACTTGGTCCAGGTTCTTCTTTGTTCTATATCCCTCAAAATAGCAGGTGGAACATCGTCCTCGTCGGCCGAGAAGGCTTCATCCCAAGAATATTCTCTGAATTGTCGCCTCTTGAAGGTTGGTCTGGCTGATCTTCAAATAATATTGGCATATTCGCAATGTCAAGCAAATCGTCTTCCTCACTACTCGATTCATCTGACTCGCTACCTGAAGGAATATTCTCTAATAATGTGAATAGATCACCCGACGACATATTGTTTAGCTGTCTGAATGAATATACTTTTTTTTCTGAAATAAAAAATAAGTACTTAGGTACATATCTAGTTTCCTAGTGGTTTCAGGATGAAACCGGCATTTTATATCATCAATATACTGATTGTAAATTGAAAACTTTTAGTAATAGGAAGTATTAATCATAGATAGAAATGTTTCTAATATTGTATATAAAAAATAAAGTTAACTGCCATAGCGAAATAATATAAAAAAAGCACCAAAATCGCTTATACCACCAGCACAGTTCAAAACACGGGTTATTACCAACTAATAATTGAATAACGAGAATGTAAATGGCGATGCGCGATACATTTTATAAAAGGAGGAGCCTTATACGTCATATAACGTGAGCAGTTTCAGGAAAATATCACTGAGAGCGTAGCATAAAATTTATTTGTATGTGGTTTACAGTGAAACCACTAGAAAACAAAGAGTTAACATTACAACAAAATAAAAATAAATGAAATGAGGTTGAATGCTCGAATAAATGAACTTTGAAAATAAGGCTATTATCGAGCACAAGTTAATTAAATCTAGCCCAAGTACTTTCGCTTAAAATAGCATCTTCAGAGGCATTTCGTCAAAATGTAAACTATCCGGCAAGCGTAGAATGTGGAAACATTAAAAATAACATAAAATTGTACAAAACACTACACTAAAACGAGGACAAACATTTTAAAATTACTTAAAGATTCTACGCTACATTCTCTGTCAGTATTTGGAGGATAACATTATCCCTCCAGATACTGACAGAGAATGTAGCGTAGAATCTTTAAGTAATTTTAAACTGTTTGTCCTCGTTTTAGTGTAGTGTTTTCTACAATTTTATGTTATTTTTAATGTTTCCACATTCTACGCTTTCCGGATAGTTTACATTTTGACGAAATGCCCCTGAAGATGCTATTTTAAGCGAGTACTTGGGCTAGATTTAATTAACTTGTGCTCGATAATAGCCTTATTTTCAAAGTTAAAATAAAAATAGACTAAGATGGTCAAAAGAGCATAAATATTGTACTCAGTCGCAATGGGATTCAATACAATGGAGTGATGAGTCCAGATTTAAAGTATGTGTTGGATACAGTAGGAATCGCGTCATTCGCGGGAAAAAATGAAGTTTTCTATCCCGACTGTGTGAAGAGAAAAGTCAAATTTCCTGCATCTGTGATGGTATGGGGCAGCATGTCGTCTAAATGTGTGGGAAAGTTACATTTTATAGATGGGATTGTAAACACGGACAAATATTTGAATATTTTAGAAGAATCTCTTTTACTGATTATGGAACACCGTTTAACATCAGCGAAAGATTTTGTCTTCCAATAGGACGGCATAGAATGTCATACTTTAAAAAAGAGTTTAAAATTGATTGAAGACCATGGCATACCACTTCTGGAATGGGTTTTAACCGTCCCGACTTGTCAGCGATAGAGACTTTGTGGCCCGAAATGAAAAAAGCTTTGAGAAAAGATCCTGCCAGGTCCATGAAGGAATTAAAGCAAAAAATTGCAAGAACACCGTTTACATTATGCACCGATTACGAAATGCACCATACTAAATGCATATTTTAGGATACAATTGTCCAAATTTTCAAATAATTGTAGTACATGGGTACAATATTTCTATTTTTCGCACACTTCGGTACAAAAGCACATATTCAGCATCATCACACACACCATTTGAATTAGTATACGGAAAAAACATGTAGGTTGCAGACAAGTTTACGGATTAAAAACATTTGTACAATTTTTGGACGTCGTGTATTAATGCCTGCAGCTTTAGTATTGCCAATTCAATCTAATTGAGATAACCATATTAGATACAGCGATTGAAGTGACGAAAGAATTACAGAACGTGGCAATAAATATTTAACACTACCGCAAATCCTCAAATTTGCATCGAAGCAATTAAGCAATCTGTATGTATGACAAAAAAATGTTGTAGATTAGTTTACAAACTATTAAAAGATTAAAATTTCAAGTTCTCTAAATTTCCATATGATTTGTGTGTCATTTGCCTACTTCTACCAAAAAACAATCTTACTGTGAGCGGCAGTGTTTCAGTTGGCGTTTTGGTTTTCTTTTTGCGCCTAGGTGGAGCAATTGGTGCATCTAAACTGGACGTAGCGTGAGGATGTGAAGTATCGAAATTTTTTTGTGACGATTTTGTGCTAGCGATCACGTCGGGTTCTTGCAGTGGAAGACATGCTTTGTCGGAGCAACTAGCTTGCGTGGGACCTGTGGAAAACACTTAATTTTTTGAGCAATTTCCTAAATAACCTTATAGAAACCTGAAATAGTGATAAATGTTTGAAATTTTAAATATAAAGTGTGTGATCAAATTTTAAAATGTACATTACCCAGGAGCATAGGCTTCCATGGTTGGTGTTTTGTAATAATATATGATTTTACGGGTTTATAGAGTGTGGTCCGGAATTATTGCATTCTCACGTTTTACCTGAAAGTTAGGTAGACGTTATCAAAGACAATGCTTAATATAAATAAAACCTTCGTCTTGAATAAGGTCTTCCAGAATTGCAGACTAAATTTCAAATACAGAATTGCAGACCATGATCTACAAACCCTGAAAATAATGTGCCATTGCAAAATACCTACAGCGAAAACCTAAACACCTCGATACTTGATAAGTGGAGACTACTGTGATAGCATTAATGATACAATAACTGTGTTTTTTTCTTCTATTTGTCAAATCTTTACATTTAATATACAGGGTGTCCAGAAACTCTCCGGATAAACGAAGATTGGAGATTCCTCAAATAATTTTAACACAATTTAACCCAATTCACCTAGTTCCAAAATACCTTCTAAGGGAGCTAGAGCTCTTTGAAGATGGCTGATTGCAATTAGATCTTTTTAAGTACGTCCAGAACGTTTCGATTTAGAAAAACGAAAACTGTTAAAGTTAAAAGTTAAAGACAAAACCGTTATGCGTTAAAATAATCGTTGATCTACCCAAAACGGACGCCTATGAACGGTACTGGAAATTAGTAATTAATGGAATCGATTCAACTCTGAAGGATAAATAATCGTACCAGTTTTTGTTTTTCTAAATCAAATGGTTCTGGAGGTATTAGAAAAAAACCACTTACAAGGTGGCATCTTCAAAGAGCTCTAGCTGTATTAGACAGCATTTTCGGACTAGGTGAATTGGGTTAAATTGCCTTAAAATTATCTGAATCACTGAGATTCGTTTGTCAGGAGAGTTACTGGACAGCCTGTAGAAAAATAACCAAAAAGTTTAGTGCGCTCTACAGTACATATATACGTAATGTGTAAAAAACAATGTGATTATATCGTTTTCGTTCACGGCCGCCAAAGCAGATGGTGCCTCTGCTCGCAAACCACTGCAGTGGTGAAGCTTTAGGAGACATTCGTCTACTTTCCGAGTTTGAATTAGTATCAGCCCAAGTGTCTGATGAGGCTGGGATAGGCCGAAATGAGTCATAACACTTTATTGATACCGATTCGAACACGAGAAGTTTAACGAATTATATTAGGCCATATATTTGGCCAATTTAATACAACAAAGCGATAGCAGCTTTTTGCTAAAAGATTAAAGATTTATTCTTTTACATATATATATATATATATATATATATATATATATATATACTATATATATCTATATATATATATATCTATAATATATATATATATATATATATATATATATATCTATATATATATATATATATATAATATATATATATATATATAATATATATATATATATATATATAATATATATATATATATATATATATATAAAAGGAAAAGAAGTCTTTGCTGACAACGTTAGAAAACGGAGCTTTGAGGTTTATTGGGATTTATTAAACTTTTTTTTCATTCATTCACAAAACTCAAATGCAATGAACAAAAGGAGTGACATTAATCAATTGAGCACTATATACTCCTACCTATTATATTTGGATGGATCATCGCAATTCAATGATGTTTCAATGACTGATTCATTGTAAAGTTTCCAGGTTTCGTTACAGTTAATTTTTCACAGTTTCTTTATTAAATTCTGTTTTTTCTAATACAACCTTTGTCAATAATTTGATGTGTAATAATAGTAGTACTACATAAGACAAAGAAATAAGAAGAAGTACTGTCATTTGCCATGTCCAGGAATGACAGTTACTCTTAACCTATCATTCAACAGTTGGCCGGCACACGTGCCGTTGTAAACTTTTTTAACTGTCTTTTTTTCTTATGTGTTAAAGTATAATTAATTTATTAAGTTTGGTCTTATACACCATGCAATTTTTATATGTATTAAATATTTTAAAATTTGACTCAATCAATGACTGGTGCGTAAAATTGTCACCTGTAAGTGAAACATCCACGAAAGACGAACCTCAATAACGTAAGTTTTTTCTCGTTTTTTTAAAACCATTTCTACAACTAATTTCGAGGATGCTTTACTAACAGTCGCACTTTATTTTCAGTTTTTTCCTGATGATGAAAATAAACATTTTCGAAAGCTTGAAACTTAGTTAAAAGAGTACACTTATTTCACCGCTGAATAAATCCCAATAAACCTCAAAGCTCCGCTATATATATAAATATATATATATATATATATTATATATAAATATATATATATATATATAATATATATATATATTGTCAATATAATAAGCTTACCTGGAGACAAAGTTAAGGTGCTTGGATATTGTTTGTTAGAACTTTGCGTCGACTCTGAATCCAAAGAACTAGATGAAAGCGCTGAAACAGATGCCGTCTTCTTTCCTGGATCTAAAACCGTAAACAACACATTAACTCTAGATTAAATTATGTAATTTTAATTAATTAATTAATTAATTAATTAAATTAAAATACTGTTGTGTAAGATACATACAGTGAACGGCTAAATTATGGAATATTATCAATATTTCATAGGCTATCGAAGGCTATCGACAAAGCGAAACGAAGGAAGGCGTCTGGTTCTGACGAAATACCTGCAGAATTGTTAAAACTATTAGATAATGAGAGTGTTGCGATTATCACATCCTTCTTTAATAAGATATACAGCAGCGGCAAATTACCAAACACCTGGTTAGAATTGATATTTATAAATTATTCCCAGAAAAAGAATGCCAGACAGTGTAGCGACTATCGACTATCAGTTTAATGAGTCACATGCTCAAAATTTTTATGAAAATATTGCATTGTCGCATATATTAACTTTGTGAGGGGATAACTGGAGATGAGCAGTTTGGTTTCCGAAACGGTATGGGTACTCGAGAAGCGCTTTTTTGCATGCGAATACTCTTACAAAAGAGCATTGAGTTTAGTTTAACATATTTACGTATGTTTTATAGATTTCGAAAAAGTCTTTGAAAGAGTACCACATATATATTATTTCAATGTTTAGACTCAGTTGGTCTGGACACGTATGACATTAGATTGCTTAAAAATCTTTACTACAATCAGACCGCTTGTATTAAGGTGGACCAAGAGGTTTCAGCTAAAGTTTCTATTAAGCGTGGTGTCAGACAGGGATGTGTTATGTCACCGATGTTGTTGAATGCCTACACTGAACCAGTTTTTGAAATATACGTTAAATAATCGCCGCGAAGGTGTTAAGATCGGTGGTGAAATTATTAATAACATCAGATACGCCGATGACACCGCAATAATTGCAGAGAGTCTAGAAGATCTTCAAACCCTGTTGAATGCTGTAAACAACGAATGCACTGAAAAGGGCTTAACAATCAACGCAAAAAAAAACAAAATGGATGGTGGTCGGAAAAATTAATATCGAAGACTCAGTACTAAGATTAGATAACAAAATCCTGGAAAGGGTGGAACACTTTAGATATCTGGGTAGCTGGATTGACTGCAGGGTTGAAAGTGACGAGGAAATTTCGACCAGAATAGAACTCGCACGGAAAAACTTTATTAACTGGCGTTCTGTATTATGCAGTAGAAGTCTATCGTTAACCACACGTCTAAGAGTATTGAAGTGCTACGTCTGGTCCATTTTGTTCTATGGATGTGAAACCTGGACAACAAAACTAAAAAATCTTAACAAATTAGAACCATTTGAGTTATGGTGTTACCGTCTCATGCTCAGAATTCCCGTGGACAGCACACATATCCAACGAACGTGTGCTGGAGACCGTGCACAAAGAGCGAGAATTGATCAATATCATCAAAATGAGAAAGGTCCAATACTTCGGTCATATAATGAGAGGACCTAAATACCGCTTATTCCGGTTAATCATTCAGGGCAAAATCGAAGGAAAACGTTGGGTCGGAAGAAAACAACTGTCCTAGCTGCGTAACATTAGACAATAGACACGTCGAACGGTCGAGGAACTATTTCATCTAATTGCCGACCGAGAATCATTTCATCAGCTTGTCAATATGACGATAGCCAACGCTTGAATACAAGCACGGCACACAAAGAAGAAGATCAATATTTCCAGAACCGTCGAGTTTTGGGGGAAATCCCGAAATAAGTCGATTTTTGTTATAAAATACCCGGCTTATAACGTACATGGAGTAGGGATGACGTCACCGGTGTAGATGTAGTGACGTAATCGTTAATTTTTTTAAATAGAAATCGGTATAATGCGTCAATTCATTTAAACGAGAATTTAATTCTCTAATTCTCTATCTAATTTAATTAGGTGTCCCATTATACTACTAACTAGAGATTACTAACATAATATAAAGTACACATTAACTAAAATAATGATTATTATATAAAATTCCTTATAGCAAAAAATAAATTGATCTCGTGATTTAATGATTAAATAATTTAAATGATTTAATAACTTACTATACTTATAAAAAACCTAACATAGTTCTGTTTTTTTCTTCAAAAAAACGTTGAAACGTTATTATTTGGAATTTTCTCTATAATTGTAAGATTTTAGATGAACAAATGATGTGTATGGATTCATATACAAAAAGAATTTAGTAAAGGATTACGTAGCGAGTGAGTTTTATGTATGGAACGCCTTTATAGATTTTCGTCTGTAAGGGTCTTGTGATGTGGCCGATATTACGGTGGTATTTACATTGTTGTCAGAACTTCCGTGTTTCTGGATATCTAATGAAATTTATTATTTCAAATAGAGCACTATGTATATTTTTTGCCTATTGAAGTCCTTAAGAAATACTGATTATTATTTATGTAATGTTCCCCATATCTAAAGGTCAAATTTAGAAATTATTGCTATATTTATATTATCTTTGGCGAAGTTAAATTAAGACATTTAGATCAACAAACTCGTTTAATTTGAATAAAAAGAAAACATTCGCAGAGCTTATCAAAACAGATGGAACATGGCTTCTACGGAACATAGAAAAAAATATGGAGAATACTCATAGTGGCAACGGACCGAACTACCTAATAAAAACCAAACACATTCAGAAGGAAATATGGACAGACTACTTTCGATCCATATTTACTAAAGGGGACGGTAATGTACCACCAACACCAGAGGTGACGGCAAACGAAGAAATAAATATTGAGGAGAAAGAGGTAAAGGAAGCCTTAAGGAAATTAAAAAAACAGAAAATCATCAGGAGAGGACCAGAACTGACCAAGCAACTACTAAAACTAATAAACTAACAAACTAAAAAATAATTCACAAAACCGAATTACTCAAGAATGGAGATCAAGCATCCTAATACCCCTCTTCAAAAAGAGAGACAAATCTGATCCGGAAAATTACAGAGGAATTAATTTATTAAACACAGCACTAAAAGTAACATTCAAAGCGATAACAAATAAACTGAATGAAATTATAACACTAGCAAAAGAAGAACAAGGTTTTAGGTCGGGAAGATCATGCACTGACGCTATATTTATAATGAGGCAAGTGCAAGAGAAGTCATTAGAATACAACAAACCAAATACAACAAAACGGGTCAAATTAAAGCTTAATTAATTGACTGCTCAATTCTTATTACGTTTGCAGTAATCCTATCTTTGAATTCCTGAACATTAGCAGGTATCGTTGTATAAACGGTATTTTTTAAGTGATCCCACAAGAAATAGTTTAAAGTTTAAAGGATTCAAGTCGGGTGATCGCGGCGCCATTCGATGAAACCAAGCCTTCTAATCCATCTTCTGGGAAACACGTTATTTAGGCATTGCTTCACCACACGCGCATAGTGAGGTGAAGCACCATCGTGTTGCAGCTAAAACATTGTCGTTTGAAATATTTTTATTGTCTGAAAGTTTCGATTAATGGCATTTTTACATTAAAATGTAATTGAAAATACTTATTTAGATTTGGATATAACCGAACCAACTCAGGTATATACTATTTTCCAATAAATCTAAATACGCCGGAAAATTTAAGTTTCCCTCAATGAAAAAGGGACCAATTATTTTTTCTTCAAACGTCAAATAATGATGACATTACTTATCTAACTTGATCCTGTCAAAGTTTGTTGTCTCCGCCGGCAGCAGTTTTTTTTCCCATTTCTTTACGGCGGAGGGAAAAATGTTGTCATGACAACAATATGAAACATGTCACAAAGCAACAATACAAATGTCATTAACAACAATTAAACATCATTTTTATTTATAGTAATATTAAAAGTACAATTAGTTAATGAGGCATTTTCAAAATTGAAACCGTGCAAAAATGTTCCCGACTCTTGATGCGCATTGGTAATTGTTGATGATACTGATGGTCGAGAACAACTTTCAGCAATCATTCCGATGTTGGCGAATCATGAGGGTTTAAAATTTTTGAGCATTATCGTTCTTATTTCTTATTGAATCCTCTATATATTCTTCGGCAACCGTGCTTGATTTCCAGCCCCCATGTCGTTTGAGGCATTCTAGATTTCCGCCTTCATCAATTAAAAGTGTTGCTGAAGTTCGTCGTAAAGAGTGACCCGTGTATGCGCTTGCATCGTTTAAATTTAAATAACTAGCTACTTTTTGGGCTACTGCGCTGATCGAATGTACGCTAATCACGCTTCGGTAACACTTTCCATTTTGGTACTTGATAAAAAATCGGTTTTCTGTGAAATTTTCAGACCGCAGTGATGCATACTTTTTATACAGTTTAATGTAGTTTTGACCAATTATCGTAAAAGATCTAATTTGTCGTGTTTTACTATCTGAGATTTTGATAATTATTACATTTTCTTTATCCTCAATGTCCACAGTCCTCATTTTTATCATTTCGTCGCATCGACAGGCGCCAGTAACCCCAATCAACAAAACATGCTTTGCAAATTGCTTTGTTATTGCAATTGTTTGCTTATTGCAAACTAGAATGCTTTGCAATATTTTTTTTTATATTTAATCCTATATACAACTTATCTGGCGCTTCAACCAAAAATTTATTAAACTCGTCTTTAGTGAAAACTTTAGACTTCTTTGCAGTATATCCTTCGCTTGTTTTTTTTTTCAGAAAGGCACGTAACTTTAAAAATTTGCTTATATCCACATTTTTTCTAATAACTACCACGGATTTTATCATAGAGTATCGTGACCACATTGTAGAAGATTTCCATTTATTTTCATTTTCCATTATATTTAAAATATGCCAGTAAAACGTCTTCGGTAACTTGCCGTATTCCTCTTGTATCGCACCACTCTTGGAAGTGCTTGTACGCTAACCGATACTTTATTCCGGACTTGGAGGCCCCAAACGTGCTACTGCATCATTAGCCGCGGACTCAATTTCGTTTAGGTTTTCCATTTTCGCACTAAATTTGCGCTTGCGGTTGCAACAACAATAAGCTGTCTTTAATAATTGCAAACAACTGTCAAACAACTATAACCAGGGAGACGCAAATCCCACCGACGACTTAATTATTTTAATTTGTAACATCTAGACAACTTTGATAGTTGTCACAGTTAATTTCGAGTAAAAATAGCGTATGAATTGTACTATTTATGGTTGAAAATTGCTACGTTTGAAGAAAAAATAGTATACTTTATTCGGCAAAGAAGCGACTTTTCTTGACTTGCCCTCTATTACGCGCCGAACGAAGTGAGGCGCGTAATATCGGCCGCGTCAAGAAAAGTCATGCTTCTCCGCCTCATAAAGTAATATACTATTGTCGCCTATTATTCCAGCCCATACTTTAAGCGTTTATGAATACTGTGTTTGTGTGGCCTCATCGCAAAACATACCACTACTTAAAAAATTTGGTTCATCTTACTTCACGTCTTCACGTCTATCTAAATCATCATTTAATAACTCTTGAACTAATCTCATTTATATGAATGTATTCATTTTCATGTAAAATTTTCATTACGGATGTTTGCGAAATCTTAAGTTTCCTGGATATTTGTCTAACATTCAGATGTGGATTGTCTTCTAACATGACACAAATAGCTAAAGATAATGCAGGCATTACACAATACTTCATATCAATATCCACAGTTTGAGCCATCCGCAACAACTGCCTAGCGACATCATCAATTAGCTCTATAAAAGAAATAGCCCATTCGATATCATATTAAAGTATACCGCCTTTTCCATATAATTGTGAACCGAACCTCTAATATACCATTTTTAGAGTTTAAATTTTCCTAACACAGCTAATAATACAAAACCCATATGGAAGTGCTCTATCTTTCATAGGCGTCAACATGGTATAATAATCAGAAAAATGTAATCACCATTATATTATAAATATTACCACCATTATCACCATTATAAATAATCAAAAACATTTGTTATTATTAATAATAAAAATTTTATGAAATAACTATTTAAATCTAATATTCCACAAAATAATAATTTTAATTAAATAGATTAGACAACTGTACGCAACTGATACGGGATTACTTTTAATTTTAATGACAGTCAAGTGTGTGGCAAAATTGTTTAATGTGTTGCCGCTTTTTTGGAGTAAGAATTTTGTTTGTTTTGATTTCTTACACAATTTGATCATAATATAGTATATATTACTAAATTGTATTTATAAATACATATTAAATTTAGATTATTAGCTTTAAAAACTAATTATTGTTGTGTATTGTGATTTTGATATACCAAAACAACTAAATAGTCTGTAGAAAGCTGCTAAGCTTTCGTATAAGATTGATTATTTTGAACAAGAAATAATGGCGCGACATTTTTACTATTAATGCTCTAAAAGAGATAAGTTTAAAATTTAGGATATATAATTTTGTATTAAAATGTTTTCTTATGTATTTTAGTGCGTTGCAGTAGTCTTAAAACTAAGTGTATTTACTGTTAATATAATAGTTTGACAAATAGTTGACATTTTAAAAATTCCTCACTTACTAACTATTCTGATGTTTTGGCAACGCTGTGGGGTTCTGACGTAAATATTGAATGACATGCAATCATTTTTATATAAAAAATTCTATATCAAGCTTGGATGTGTACAAATAAAAAAAAAACAAGAAACAATAACAAACTTGACTTATGAAATGGAAGTGTTGAAAGGCTTGGTAGCTAATACCATAAAATACATCACGTCTCAGTCATGGAGAAATTATAACAGAATTATATGTATAAAAAACACTACAAAAGAAGAAGATATAATGTGGAATCTAGACAATAGAGTATATGATTCTGCTGAATCGTTAATTACCAACCTGAAAACATTAGTGATCGTGATAGCTGTTCATCACATGACTAGTTTTCTTCAGACGATAATTAATATTCTGGCTTCCTGCGGATGTCGAACTACCTTATCAAGATTGATTTCATATCAATATTAGCAAAATTATTTTGTGTACACACATTTTTCAATTTCAATTACGTTTTCTCCATATATAATATACTTTACCCTTTTTAAAAAGGTAAACAAACCAAATATATAAAGGCGCTTAAAGATATGCGTGCCAAAAGGTATACGTACCGTACGCGTACAGATCCTTGAAAATATATCTACATAGCTGATCGCAATGATCGCATACTTATCTCGATACATGGAAAACGATAAAACTGACAACGAACACACATGTGCGAAATGATTCATTTTATTAATAATTTGGGTACTGATTTATCGTGTATAAAAATATGTACAATAATCAGTTTACTGTTTTCTCGCGTCTCTCTAGGAAGGAACACGTTAGTCACACAATGTCGATTTTATGAAACAATAAAAATGTTCGTTGCGTCTAGTAGCGCCGTCCAAACTGAAAGAAGAGCTTCTTTGGAAGTCGTGGAATAAACCGCAACAATTTGGTTCGCGACGAGTCACGATGAAACAGTACGCAAGCGGTTTTTTCTGCCGTACGCATTAACGAATATAGTGTTCGCATACCGTATGCATACCGTTTGGCTCGTATATGTGTACCGAGCTTTAGGGGACGATATCTCAGGCGGTAGAGTATCTGACTTCCACTCAGAAAGTCGAGAAACGAATAGCAGAGCGGCGATAACATGTAGATATTTTTAAATATCTACAGGCCCCAGGTCGACTCAGCCTGAATAAATAAGTACCTTGGGTAAAACCAGCGGTAATAATAGGCGGTTATTTACTTATTTAGTGTATGGCTACATCACAGTTGAGTTTTGTGTATACACAAAGAGAACAAACATTACAAACAGTAAATAATAATTATTAATTTTTACAAACAAACATTTAGTTGGCAATTGACTCTGTTACTCTATTGATTCTTTGGTATCAACTAAGAAATCGGACGGATTGCCATCATAGGATCTGATAAGGCATTCCTTCACTAAGATGTTTAACCGCTTGTCTTGCAGCACCGCAATCGCAGTTTCGAGAGGGTATTTTTCCCCACCTAAAAGTGAGTCGGAACACCTGCCAGTTTGTTCTTATTATATTCAGTGTGGCCCAGATTCGTCTTGGTTGGTTGAAATCCTCTGGCTTGCTTGTAATACATGGAATATTCCGGGTGTCAGGCGGTACATGCTTTTTCCACTCTTCTCGCCAACTGTCGGCTATCGTGAAGTTCCGTTCAATTAAAATTCTTGCAGAATCTAGAAGATTGATTTTTGAACGAAGTCTATTTATGTCTCTGCAAGTTTTTCTATACTCTCTGACACGGACATGTTCTCCGCAGGCGTATGAGGGGCAGTATGCTAGTATGGCCTTTATTGTGCCCGATATAATACGTACAGCCTGGTTTTGTTGGGCGTCAACACGTTTGGTGAACACATAGGCTCTATAGAACATTAAAACTATACTAGGGGTTGCGCCCCAACTTCGATTTGTTATGCATTTAAGTAAATTAAAACCTTTCTCGCATTTGCTTATTAGGTAACGCATATGACTTCACCATAGTAATTTTACTGAATAGTACTGTACAATACATTCTGCCAATCAAACAGATTTTTATAAATATTGTGCAATCTGTCATAATATTATAAATATTGAACAACAGTAGTTTACAATATATAGTTATTTTTTTTTTAATGAAACAAATTATTTTTAGACTTAGCTGTGATATATGTGTATTGTTTTACATATCACATGGAAGTTTCTAAAAGTGCAAACAAATTTAAAAATAATGTCAATAATACTCACCATTTTCTTGGACTCCTCCTAGTATTCTACCAATTCTGCCTAAGGAATTAAGACTCTGCAAACTAACAGTGTCCTGTTCTATAATTCGGAAAGGATGAGTAGCTCTACTTGAACCGGCAAAAACTCCATCTACAGATGAATTCTGGCTATTTGGTGGTGTAATATTCCCTCCTGGCTGATAATCTTCATCATCATGTTGAAGTCTTTGGCGAAGTTCCTTAAACTTTTTCCTTCCACCAATTGGAACTTCTTTTGATCTATCTGTTTCAGTCTGTTTTGTAGTATCATATTCGGGGGGATTAGGGCCTTGTTGTTTTTCTTCTTTTAGGCCTGATATGTTTGGTTCAGAACTTGCTCTTTTGGCTACATTGTTATCCTTAGAAATTTTCCTACTTCTCCTTAAAACAAAATATTATTTTTAGGCACACAATACATGCAAAAGAATTCATTTATTTAAAGGGATAATTAAAGAAGAAAGATTGTACATAACAGTGCCGAGAAGAATGATTAGAGTCACCATTATTAATGGGTTATAGAGAGAAGTTGAAGTGAGGGGCTTTTCAATTAATTCATTTCTTAATTTCTTCATGAATTCCACTTCCAATTGATTGCCTATTAACTTTGTCGCATTTAGCTACTAGTTTTCATGTAAGTTAGATGTCTTCATTTGTTTTTGCGTCATTTTATTCTGATACGAAAGTAAAATTAATTTCTACTTTTTATTTCTTTGTTATGTTAACATAAAAGTGATGGTAATTCAACAATAAATTTAAGTAGAACTTTTAGGGATTTGAGAAAATATTAAGTAAAATTGAGCAAATGTTCAATACTGTAAACTGAAAATATCCACTGTAAGTACAAATATTGTCAACAGTGTTGTAACCCTTTCACTTCTAATGGGTTATATTTGTCCCATTAACAACAACAATACATCCTACTGCTTGGCTTACCGCCACAATTTATACATGCAAACATTTAGTTGCTTCTCAGAATTGAAACAAAGTGGTTGTCTGCAGAGGAGAAGTGTGTTTTATTATTTTTGTATTAGGTAGTTGTAGTTACTCCTTCACAAGATTGCTTTTTATAATGGATAGGGAATGGATAGATAATTGTTTTACAAATAATTTAGTGTAGGTACTAATTGTTATTATTGAAAAATGTATGTTGCAACATATGAGTTCCACTAGAATTTTAATATGGGACATATTTATCCCTCTTGAATCATACTCTGTATTTTATTACAGAAAAAGAAAATTGGATGAACATGAATTACAATATTTGGCTGATAATTTATGGAATGAATTGAATGATGAAGAGAGTCCTTTCAGGATTGCGGTTCAGAATATTCACCATCCTCTGGCAATTCTTTTAATTTGAATTTAAGTGATAAATGTTGATCTGCTAATGATCCAGAAAGTGAGACTTATTTCGAAGTTGAAGACAGTGAAGAGTTGTCCCAAGAACAACCCTGATTTTCCTACAGCTTCTAGTACAATACTTAATGTCTCTCAGATTGAGTGGCAGCCATCTTATGAGGATTTTATTTTCTGTGAAAATCTACTGATCCGTGCTGTATTCCCTGTTCCATTTCAGTTAATCGTTCTTGTAGTTAAATGGATGTTTCTAAAAATGTTGCCTAGAAATCTTCTAATGTATATATCAGAAAACACAAACTGACAGTTAGAGATCTTAAAAGAACAAATTAGTGTTAAACCAACCAATCCCACTGAAATGGTGATAATTGTGGGGGCTCTGTTAGTCATGAGTTACAATTGAGTTCCAACTATGCAGCTTTATTAGTCTAGAAATAAGTTAAGGGAAATGAAACATTGAAATCTGAGATTTCTAGAGATAGGTTTTGATTATTGGATCGACTTCAATAATCCAGTTAGGCCAAGAGACTCTAGCAAAACTTACTACATTAGGTTGTGACTTGTTTGAAACAAACTTTTATAAGTGGAAGTTGCGATAGCGTTTATCAATGTGCTGATGAATCAATGGCTAAATTTAAGCAATATCTGCTAATAAGCAATTATCTCAAGCAATATCTATCTCCAAAACCTACAAAAAGAGGTATTAAAATCTGGCAAAGGTGTGACAGTTTGCCTGGTTACATTTATGACTTGAATATGCTGGGAAAGAAACTGAACATAGCACCAGAACTTTGGGTAAAACAGTGGTTAACAAACTATGTCAAAGTATTAGAAGTACAGAGGTATCTGTATGCTTTAATCATTTTTTATTTCAGTGAACCTAATGGAGAATTTACAGTATATGTCAGTTGGTACCTGTATGGGCAATCCAAGGCAGCTACCAGAAATTAGTAAAAAGCTGCAAGTATGTGGTAATACTAAAGAAGTGGTTGTAAATTAGTAATTGTCACAGAGCTAAAATTGGTTAAGGCGAAAAAAAAATGAAAGATTGATCAAAAACTAATGTTTCTTGTCCACAGTCAATTTGATATTATAATTAAAATATGGGCAGAGTCGATCTTACAGATCAGTTGTGCAGGCTGTACGACATAGACATAAGATCTAATAAATGGTGGAAGAAATAATTTTTAAACTACTTCTGATGTAGATGGTAAATTCTTAGATACTTTATAAAGAAATACGCCATAAAAAATTCCTCTTCTGCATATTATTGTGCCATTAGCCAAGCAGAAAACCAAGAAGATGCAGAGTATATGGTAGACCATCAAAAACTACAATGTCTCTAAAAAATGTTGGAGAGCATTTGCCCATTGAACGAACAACTCGATGAAGATGCCATTGATATCACAAAATGAAAAAAGAACAAAGGTTTCTTGCTGTCAGTAACACTGCATTATGTCTGGATTGTTTTAAGATATTTCATACATGATAAATACTGTTATTTTATATAATTTTCTACAATAAAAACGTTTTTGTGTTTCTTTTTTCATTGAATTTTGCAACTATCGGTATATAATTATAACCTGGAGGGACATATATGTCCCATGCTGATATAATCAAAATATAGGTCAGTAAATTTGACAAATGGTGCAAATTGTAGAAAAATAGCATTTAGAGCCTAAATAACATAACAATAACAAAAATAACAATAACACTTTCACAATCTTAACTTAATAAAGAAAAGTTTCCAATATACAAAATCCTTAACTAAGAATAAAAGAAGATGGATAGGATTGTAAATACATTCTACAAAGCATATCTTCTATACTACGTTCCACGTTTAGAAAATAACATTGCGGAGATAGGGCCATGTATTTCTTATGGACGATAGCAACGCGGCGTTGCCACGACACACACAAGCACAATTTAGGGTTGTATAATTTGTATTTTTGTTTCCACAAACATGAATTAAATTAATGTTTTTTTAACGTAATTGACCAAAAGTGCCCATTCGAAACAAGAGATGAAAAGTAGGGAAAATGATTTTAATTAGATAAATAGTATTTACAAAAGATAATTTTATTTTATCTTATTTAAATTATAGTAACGACAGTTTATTTGTTTTTCGGTGAGAATACGATATGCTATGAATCATAGAAATCAGTATAAAATATTGACCGCTTGGAATGCGTATATCTAATTACTAATTGCAACTTAAAATAATACGATGTGCGTATGTCAGCTATTTTATGTCTTTCTCTGACTACATTATGATAATAAGGCTTTTATATTAGTAGTTATTCTGACTTTACAGTTAAATGTTAATTGAAAATGAAAATTCAAAAATTAAGCAAATGGAATATCTTGGACATCTGTGCAAAAGAGAGTGTCTGAGAGTTTTGGCAACACTGATCTCCATAAGCGTAATGTTATTTTCTTAACTTGAAACAAAGAATAGCAAAGAGTATCTTCTATCAAAAAAATGAGGAAGCACCCATATAACCAACATTACATCTCAGGTGATTCCAAGGAAGTGTGTAAACAGACCTTTTCATGAAAATGTAAAATTCAATTATCTGAGGATGGATGCTTATTTAGCGAGCAGCATTGATATAAAAAATCAGGCTTTAATATGTCATAATTAAAGTGAAAATACAGAGTATTTATGATGAATATATTACAAAACAATGAGTGCCTAATGCCATAAAATAACAGAGATGCCAAAGATTCACAGAACTTTCGAAAGATGGTGCAACTACTATTTCTTGAATTAATATTGATGACACACTGATGTAGCCTCTTAAGATAGATTATAAAATTCTCAAACAAGTAGCTATTCTTAAATGATTAGAATATAATTACATGAAAGAGATGTTTTTGGTTTATATTACTAATTTTCTCCTTTCCTGATTGGTTGCATTACTATATTAAACTAGTTTTTTTTATCTGGTACTCAGTACTATTTTTCTCAATGATGTTGTAACTGCAATAGCTAGATAATTTGTTTTACTTTATTGCAGGTGTTTGTTATCAATTTGCTTTTTTTTATTTATTGTCATAACATTTATAAATTCTGGATATTTAGTTATATGCTCATGTTTAATAATATGTTATCTATAGAATTAGGCTCATGACTTTCTTAACAAAACTGTATTTATATATCTAGTAACAATGTTTGTTATTTTGCTCCTTTTACATTATTTACCTTATCCATTCGCTTGAAATTATTCTCATGTTTAGTTTATATGCAAATCTAATCCATGCTATATTTTAGCTTGGATAGAAGTAGAAATAACTTATTTTTATTGTATACATTATACAGGTAGTAAGTTATTTGTAGGCATATTTAGCTATTAAACTATACACATACAGCCTATGGATTAAAGTATAAATATTTCCAAAACCAACAAATACATCATTCAATACAAATAAGTCCAATGACATGTAACTAAAAATCAAATTATTATTATTTAATCAAGAACTCATGTAAAAGTTGTCAAATAGTAATTTGTTTATCATATGTCAAGTAAAAAGGGCGAAGATTTCGGACGGCGTTTTAAAAAGCCTGCAAATTAAATATTGTAAGCATATGTGTGGATTATTTAATGTAAGTTTTTAATTTTTGCTATAAACATTTAGCTTAAACATTGTACCTTGCACTACTGGGTGAATTATCCTCAGCATCATAAAATTCTTCAGAGTCACTATCACTAGACATTATTATCACGTTGAACATTCATTTCAAAATCTTAAAATGTATAAAAGGCCAACATATTTGCGTGGGTGTATCACCAAAATTTTGATAAAAGTCTAATATTTTTTTGATTTTCGACTTGTCAACAAAAAGGTTGACAGTTCATAAATTTAATGTATCTACAAAATTCTACATTACCAACGTACGTCCTTAAGTGGAGCTTACACGAGAATATTAGGGAAATTTTCGAAAGTACTTTTTTAATATGTCCTTGTAAATGAAAATCCTAAAAACAGTATTGAATTAACCTTGTGTTAAATTGGATAAAAACGTACACACATTCACCATATTTGTATTAATTTATTAAGATAACCATATTAAGTACATTTAACAACATATTAAGTAGGTATGCAACGTTTGAGCAAACAGTCATTTTAAAAGTTATTTGATTTCTAGTGCTTTGCATAGGAACATTTTATAAAGTTAGATCTTTTTTCATAATTGATTTAACATATTTTTTAAAAAGTTATAATTAAAAAAGTAATCCTTCAGTCATTCTTCCCATGTAACAATTATAGTAGTTTAGCCAAAAAATCCCCAGATCCATATTTTTATTGGTTTCAAAAAATGTTCCTAGCTTATTATCAAAATTAGAAGTTATATCCATAGATAAATAATATAGTATATACAGATGGTTATATCCTGATCACATACAAACAATTATATTTTGCAATATAATTGTTTACTCCTAAATCCTTTCGAAAAATTGTTTATTATTCATAATTAAAATGACAATTTTTTAATTTTAATATAACTACATCAAAGATATGTTGATAAAAAAATTAATTTACAGGTGTTGTAGCTAATTATTATTTTATTAAACTCATCATCTAATTTTAAAAGTTTAATCTTTTATCATTTTTATAAAACATTGTGATGTCATGTAGGCGACCAATCAAAAGTTTGTTCGGTGACATTTGAAAGATTTATAAAAATTAGGTTGTCACCCTGAAGACATACGTCTTAAACCCACCTTAATATTTTGATCTTTACCTCAGAACCACAGCAAACCTCAAATACGCTCTCCGCTCAAGGTTGTTTTCTCTTCCAAGAACCAAATCAACATGGAGGACCTAACTGTGGAAGTATGCGGCGAAAACGGAGCTCTTTATAAGGTCTGTATCACTTTATACGTATTAATTTTCTGTTAAAAATCGGCCGATAGGCTAGCTAACGGTCTAGTAAATTATTTTTGTTATTGAGTCATGGTTACTTGTTGTACTTCTTTGGTATTTTCGGAAAATGTGATTCACTAAACGCGGTTCTTTTGACGCCATGTCCATTTGACAGGGCGTGAGTTCACCATGTGTCTTAATATTATTAAGAAAATGGGTTTTCTAGTGATAATTTATAACATAGATTTATCAGAGACATCGAACTCGTCGATGGTTATCGTGAATCGCTAGCCTAAAGGTTAGGTTTAGGGTATCATATTACTATACTTTCCAAATACTCAAATATTAATATTTTCTATTTCAGGGCTATGTTATAGATGTTTTCGACGATGAGGTTCTTATACACTTCGAAGATGGGTAAGTTTTATGTTTAATTATTTTTCCTACTTTATTAATTATTTGCTCTTTCTTAGTTGGCAGCCAGACTCAAAATTCCCCTTTAGCCAAGTTAAATTACCTCCAAAACCAGATCCCAAGGTAGAATTTACAGAGAATATGGAAGTAGAAGTATATTCTAGAGCAAATAACCAAGAAGCCTATGGATGGTGGAAATCAAGGATAAAGGTAAATAGAATTTTTCTAATTTTCAAGTACACACCTACAGATAAGTTAATTATTAATCAGCAGTTTCATATTTAACTATATGTGAATAGTTACAATAAACTGTTTATTTAGTTTCATATTTGGATTAAAAGATTCAGTATCTTGATGTAAATGAATATGTCATACTTGATCTTTTAACATTTAGTACATTAAAAACAAATTTATTGTTGTGATTAAATACTTTAAGTAAACATTAATATATTTTAAATTCTTTTCTGTCCAAAGGAGGTGTACTTACTGATCAAATTTAGATATAATTATAGCAGTTTTATATTGCACAACATTTCCATAATAGAAAAATATAACATTTATGTATAGTTCAATGTCATGTCATATTTTGTAGTGTATGTATTATTGACATGTCATTTTGTATAACATAAAACATGATGATCCACATTTTTCTAATGAAGTTAACAAGAATGATTTTTAGTGGAAGTTTTCAAATAGTTTAACATTTTTCAATGGGTATGGAAGTGGAAATCTCTTAGATATCTAAAAAATTGATTAAACAACCTGTTCAGACACCATAGTGACTTCTATAGTAAAATTAGTTACCTAAAAAATGTAATTAAAATGTAACAACTTACTACACTGGACTGATTTCTGCCATACTTGTGCTTTGTGCAGTTATAGAGACAGATGAATAAAATGTTTGTTTTTTTTTTCATTTTATGGAATGTCACAGATAAAATAAGTTTTGCTTGTATTGGAACATTTAAACACAACCTTCAAATTTAATTAAACAAAAAGTGATTGTAAAGATTCTATATTTTAATGTAGACAAATAATTCAAAACAGTAAGAATTTAGTAATACTGCAAAATAATAATAATCACTAAAAATCGAGAATGTAAGAAAATATCAATCATCAGATGTGTAGAAATTTGAAAAAACATGATTTTCTACCAAAGAGTGAGTTAAGAAGATGAAAATTGTAAGATTTGGAAAGTAGTTTGACAGAAAAGCAACCCATCTTCTCTAGAACAGCCAAACAATCAGTAGTAATTTTTTAAAATATGTAATAATCACATATTTTTAAATTTTCCTACATTCTGGTACAACACAAGAAACCTTTTGAAGATGAAAATGTAGTGAAAGAAGCAGTTTTTGAAGTTGCTAATCTAGTATTTTTTGACTTAAAAAAATAAAACAGAATATATCTGCTATTTAACAGGTTCAGTTATCCCATGCAACTGTTCCTATAGTAAAATTCATTAAGCGATGCGGGAAGATGTAAACATTAAATTGTGTCCGAACCAGTATGAGCTGCTGACAATGTCGGTAGATGAAATAAAGATTGACATTTCAGTTAGTTTTTAAATCTTTTTGAAGAACTGTTACTTGCATTTATGCATAAAATATTCATTAATTTTATAAGCTGGATTATTTTTCATTTACTATGTATTCCGTGATAACATTAATTTATTTACTATGCAATAAACACAAATATTTGAGAAAAGAAAAAAATAAAGTGTCATAATTATACTGTTACTTATCAGAATGAGTAGACTCATTTGGAACACCTTTAACAATTATCTGTTAAAGTCAGCTAAAGCAGTATTATTAACAGTGCTCTGAAAGAAAAAAACTGGCGGAGAAGATATGTACACAGTGTTTCTCAAATTTTTAAAACAATATGAGCTACTGATTGACAAACCTGTGAGCAATACAACAGGTGGAGCACCATCTATGAGTGGCAATAAAATTGTAAAAAAATTGGAAAAAAGTGGATTTGTTGCATTGTGCCAAACCTGTGATGATTTCCCATCATTTTTTTCATTCCATTGCCTCATTCATCAGCAAGCTATATGTTCAAAAATACTAACTATAATTATTTAACAGACATTGCTGCAAATGTTGTGAATTCAATCAGTGTGTGGAGCTTGCAATGAAACCTTTTTAAAATGCAATTGGCAGATAGTGAGTGCTGACCACACTGGTTTATTTATTTGTACAGAAGGGGGTTGAGCTTTATTTGGATTTCGATTTTGGGTAACCTAGATCAGTCACAGTCAGGTATTTTAGCTAGTAGAGCTATTCCTTTAATCCTAAATCTTAACAAAACATGGTTTATAGTGGAAACAAACAAGAATAAAGTATGTAATGTTAAATTATTGTAACCCAACATTTGCAACTACGGATTACTACTAAACTAGAACGGATTTTAACTATAAAATATGGTTAATAAAAGTTGAAAAATAAATATCAGTGAACAATGAAGACACTGTGAAGAAATTTCTTTCTTTGTTCTCACTTTCTATGCCCACTTTTATGGGCATAGAAAGAGTCTCGGAAGCACTTATATGACATAACATATACTGCAGTGTTGGTTTAACACAGTCTGCTACCTGGTGCTGATACAGATGCAGTGCCCAGGCTTAAAAATATTTCTTAAGCTTATTTCAATTTAACAAAACATATTTTGAATACAAGTTTATTTAAATAAGGAAAACAATTACAATTTTTGTTGGTTTCAAACTTAAATGAATACTAACAAAATACAAGAAAAAAATTAAGGGTGAAGTTCAAAAAGTAAAATAATAATGTACCTAATAACATTAAAACAGGTAACATGAGGTAGGTAATCAAAGACCTTTACTATCGAAAACCTTGTTTTCTTGCTTTTACTGAAGCTAAGCTTTTCTGAAGTTTTTGATAATATCATATATATTTAATTCATTTACGGCCAGTTTCACAATCAGTGGTTAACCCTAGGAGTTAAGTAACCTTTACCCCTAGTTTAACTGACAGATGCCGTTTCACATTCACAGATTCGGTTATGGTCACTTAACCTTAGGTTTCGTTTTATTTTTCTTATGTTGGTAGGAAATTATGGGCAATAATCAGATTTTTATGGAATATTGTCAGTAAATATTATGGACATTGACCAGTATAGATGAGTTATGACACATTTTTCACGTTCGATCGAAAAAAATATATAGCATTTTTATATACAGAAAAAATCTTCATAGTCTAGTTCTTCAAAATGATTTGTTCTGTACCTAATATATTCTTGGTCTGCCAGCTTCCTCATCACCACTAAAAGCATTTACATCATATAAATCCATATCTGATTAATTAATAATTTACGTGTCTGTCTACACTGTCAGTGTCAACAAAACAAAATTCGAAATTAGGTTAGGATATCCTGATCAAGCTCTAAACCATCGCTTTTACTTTGGGTTAAAAATTTTGTAGGTTAACTACAACCTGAGTTGTTGACCTTATATTGTGAAACCTATATTTCAGGGTAACCGCTGGTTATCTCTTAACCGCAAGGTAACTTTACTTTGTGAAACCGGCTGTTAGCAGGTCCTTGTTAATGGATAAAACTGTTAAGAAGTTCCAATGTTCTTGGGAAATTGCACTTCGTAAGTGGGTCTTTATCCTTTTTAGTGTCAAAAGAGAGTGTTCACCACTTGCAATTGCGACCATTATGAAGAAAAAATATGCAGGCAAATTAACAAATACTTTAAATGAACACATTCTTAGATAAATTAGTAGTAATTTGGTTGCTGATCTGAAAATATCTTCACATTTTAGTTTAAACAAAAATTCAAATGCTTTTGAATTAAGATGAATTAATTAATTCAATCAATAATAAATTAATTAATTTTGAATTAATATCTGACTTAAGATTGTCTATTATAAAAACAACATTGTGTTCGCATTTTTTCTTTTTGGCTTAAACTTAGCTCTGAAATTCTTTCTCCTAATTGCAATTTTTTTTAATAATCCTCTTCTCAGCATAATTTCCGTTCCCTGTTAACAACATTCCTAACGCTTCGTAGTGATCAACAAGCTATTGGTGGTTGTTTCATCATCTAATACTTTTGAACGGGTGATACTAAATGCTCTAGAACTGATTCTGAACTCTACAAAATAGGTTCAAAGTTAATGATAACATAAAATTTTTTATTATACACATAAGATTGGTTAAGGCTACAATGCGTAATGTGGTTTGCAAAGTCAAAATACAGGGTGAACAATCAAAGGTGTTTGAAACGCATGTTGGGCTGCGACAGGGAGACGCGCAGGCATGTCTCCTTTTCAACATAGTACTGGAAAAGGCGATCAGAGATGCCCGAATAGACAACAGAGGAAATATTTTAAATAAATCATCCCAAATTTTGACATCTGCAGATGATGTGGACCTAGTTGCCTGCACAACATGCAAGCTAGACAAAATGTATACCACCTTCTCAAATGCCTCAAAATCTATGGGCCTGCAAGTAAATGAGGAGAAAACTAAGATGATGGCATCAACACCCAACAATAGAGTCAGGAACATCGATCCCCAATTCACAGTTGATAACTCTACCTTTGAAGTGGTGGACAAATTCACATACTTAGGCTCCCTGATCACCAAAGAGAACGCTATAACGGAAGAAATCAAGCGAAGGATAATAATGGCAAACATATGCTATTTTGGACTGAGTAGACATATGAGAAGTAGAAACTTAAGCCAAAAAACAAAAATAACCTTATACAAAACCCTTATACAGCCAGTGTTGACATATGGATCAGAGACATGGACCATCTCCAAGGCAGACGAAGACCTTCTGCTTATATTTGAACGAAGGATCCTGAGAGGAATATTTGGTGGCATCTGTGAAAATGGTGTTTGGAGGAGGAGATACAACTACGAGGTATACCACAGATATAAACAAATATTTGGTGGTAAAGACGTAGTATCTCTTATAAGAATAGGAAGACTAAGATGGGCAGGACATCTAGCAAGATCACAGCAGAACAACCCTCCTAGAAGAATCCTTATGTCACAACCCGTGGGAAGTAGAAAAAGGGGTAGGCCAAAACTCAGATGGAAGGATGGTGTAGATGAGGATGGTAGAAAGATAGGCGCAGCAAACTGGCAACAGTTGGCAATGGATAGGACTGCCTGGCGTAATAGACTTGGGAAGGTCGAGGCTCTTTCATAGGGTTGTAGCACCATTGATGATG